TTTATTATGTAATGTTACTAATATAAAAGAATTCATAATTTTTAGAATGGATTTGTAAATTCACAGAGCATTGTGAATAGTTTTCAAAAAAAAAAATCGAAAGAGTAAAGTGTTGTAATTAACTTTATTTAGAGTAGCAGATTGTATATTTTATTTTTATCTTTTTATATTAATAAACCTGATCCCGGTGGCTGATTTAAGTGCATACATAATCAGTTTACTTTCTTTGAATATGTATATCATGGTTTTATTATATTAGTGAATATAAATGATTAAATATTTTTTTATTTACTCAAGCTTCTGAATACTTTCATTTCTTGAATAAAACAATGGTAAACATACTGTCTACAATTGAATCATTGAATGAAAGAATTTCTAAAGTTGAAGTTTTAGATAGGGAACACCTAACCAGAATCAAAAAACTGAGAACATGATTTATAAATTCTAAGTTAAATGCATCTAAATAACTAAGACATGCCTTAACGAAGAATCGATAATTGAGTATTGACCCCTTTTTGAATGGATTAGAATTTGATCAAAAATGCTAAATTGCATTAGAAGTTCAATATCAGGTTCATAATACTAGCTAGTATAAGGATATTAAAAAATGAAGATATTGTTAATTAAAAAGATGCATATGGGAGAAGTCAATAGAAATGGGACAAATTTATTAGATAGATTTGTCCTATTTCTATTGACTTCACCCAATATATCAAGATAATGGTTTGTTAATAAGCATTAAAAATTGATCAATACCATATTTTATGACCTTAATTTGGTCGCACAAGATGTTCATCTGATCCAGTAATATTAATATTACATTATAAATACAAACTTTTTAGATCACAATGGCAATCACAGTTTCAAGAATAGAGAGTAGTGTTGGGGTTAGTGGAGCTGATAGTTATTCAAGTAGTAAAGGTCTGTTTTATTATTGATTAATAAACATGAAATAAATATTTACTTGCGTATTCTTATAACATATAGTACAAAACATACAAAGACAGTTGGATCACTTCTTTAAAAAGCTAGTTAACTTGATTCAAGATAATACAGAATCCAAGATATTAATGTATTTTTTTTTAAAAAACACGTATTTTGAATAAGTTAACAGTCTGTTTCTTTTAAGTAATCACTCAAATCGAAAATGAAGTTAATGCAGAACTATGCAAAGTACATGATGTGGATATTATAGAACTTGAATTGCTACGTATAAAGGCCGAGGGCAAGAAACATAATAAAATTTTTGAAATGATTCATGATATTTTTAATGCTAAAATTGTTAACAATAAATTGTTCATCAAGGTAAGGCACTATCTTTGTATATATTATTTTATATGCATTTTTTAATTCTTTTGTTACTATTCAAGTTTAATGGTTTGGTGAAATCAGAAATACAGTGATGAATTCACTTGATTACCAACTTGGTTGACTGCAATTGATGTAATATGTGTGGTTAATAGTAATTAGTATCAACCTGATATAGGTGGTTGGAACCCTAAACCAGCATGTAATCAAAGAATTAAAAACCTATAATTAATCAATGTCTATCACCATTGCTATAGATCGAGGTGAAGCCTTACTATTTCTTGACTATAGGTTAAAATATTGATAGGTGACTTATAACAATTCTGAGGATTGTGATAATGCAATAAATAAATTTATACGCATTCAACCCCACTGTCCGACTACAGAATTTGTAATCATCGTTGTTCTGGCTATTAAAACCACTTTTCCAACAAATTCAAATTCAGGTGTCAGTTCAGTGGTGGCAATACCCAAAATGGTACGTCCTTCTGGTATTCTATATCTTGGCCATTTGTCTGTGGAAAATATTATTACTGCAATTCAATGGTACAAAATGAAATAGAATATATATCTTATATTAGAATGTGGAATGAACATAGATTTTAATGATATACTTAAAGTCTTAATATAAAATTTATAATCAACTAATCAAATTATAATTTCTTTATTATACATATTGTAATATAATCAATTTTATTAGTAGATATTTTATTAGTTAAATTTATATTATTATATTTTATTAGTAAAT